CACCATTGGTACAATATATATGTGTGTGTACATATATTTCATTGAAAGAATTTTTCGAGTATAAGTTACAGTTACAGAGCATTGATCTTGACTCACCGTAATGGTAGATTAGTACTATGAATATTCAGTTAACAGTTTTATAGTGCAGTTTCAAAAGCTTGATAAAGGTAATAAGGATAAAGATCCCAAAGATGTTTTATACGATTAACATCTGAATGGACCATTCCAAAATGGTGATACGGTTATTATGAATCCAAACACTGTTCTTAACTGTTTTGTAGCAAAGGGCATTATCCTGCTGAAATGAATGACACTTTGAGTTGCTGAAGAGAAACCACTGCTGTGACCCTTTATTACTATTTAAGATCTCTCAAGTGTGTATAGGCACATATAAGTGTAAACACAAAAATAGGTCTCGTGTGCAATGTGCTGATTTCAACCCACACCATGATACTTCAACCATATTTTACAGCTGGCACAAACAAATCAAGTTAAAATTATTCATCTGACTGCTTCCAAATGCCAATTTGGCCATCACTTTCAATTGGAAGAAAAGCAGCCCTCATCACTACAGTGTTTGGAAGTCTTACATGAAGAAAAAGGTTGCTACATATTTTGTTGAGTCAATAGACAGTTAAAATACTTCAGCTCTTATAACGTATCCAACTTCAAGGAGATTACATACATAGACCTCACAAATAATGGGCATGCTGACTGCATTAAAATCATTGTTATTTGTTATAAAGATGATTTCCAAAACTTTTTAAAAATTTCTACTAAATGGACATTTGCCATATCTGACAGCATTCATGGTGAACCTGAAAAGTTTTTATGTTTGGTACTATAAATTTCATTAAATAGTCTAATAAGAATTATATAAAGCAACCAGGCTAATTGTTTTATTATTTTTACTGAGCGCATTTATATACTAAGTATGTTCTCATAATATAATGATCAGATTAGAAATTAAATGTTATACTACTTATTTTGAATTCTGGATGCAAGTCCCAATCTGATCTTTAAATAATAGTGTTATTTTATATAACCTTGTCATCTAAGATTTTCAGCATTTTGAAAGCTAAAATGCAAACTCAGGGAATAAGTTTTACTTAACACCTAAAGAGTATATTACAAATCTATTTGAATGATTTTACTTTGCTGTTGAACTTCAACTGTCTACAGGCACTGAATGGTTGTTTGATATGAATAACCACATCTGTATTGAAAAGTAACAAAGGCCTTACTCTACATGTGATGCTTGCAAATACAGGTTTCATTTGATAGTGTATCCCAAAACCACAAAAGGATCATATTCCCACAGAACTAGTCATCCCTAATTTAGAAGTGATGGCCAAGAAGGAATGCAGCTAGTCAACACCACCACCAACTTTTGGACTACTTTAAATCAAATAGTGATAATGACCACTACATTATATCACCCAACAGCTAAAAGGGTGAGCATTTTTGGAAATGGGATTTGAATCCATGACAAATAAATTGCTAGTCGAGCATCCTAAACTCCAGGCCTTTGAAAATATGGAAATGCTATTCTATTACATTTAGTTTTCTTTAGATATTAAAAGTACTATTTATCATGTATATTGCAAGGTTTAATTTTCTATCTGAAAATAAAATTCAACCACCAATGGCACAATTTTTATTATGACGCAGCTTAGTGCTATTAAAAATGAAATTTTCAAGTCATACACAAATGCATAACATTTCCTTAAAATTTTATTAGTCAATAAATTAACATTTATTAATTATTTAATCTAAAAAATGAATGTTTCATAAATACATATTCTATATCCATTAGAGCTCAGAACTAAAGATAGCTTACTTCATAATTTCCAGCTACCAAATCAGTAGCCATTTGTCCTTTCAGATTGTAATAATTAACATCTTCTTCACAGCTACACTGGTTCAAACAGGAAGTTGTATTGAAGTTCTGAATAAAAGGATTTGCCTCTGCTTCCATCAATGATATTATTACATCTTTGAAACCTCGAGTGCAGGCCAAATGTAGAGCAGTGTTTCCTGCAAAATTCTGAACGTCCACGTTGATATCATGCTAAAATATGTAAAATACAAAACAGTGCAGTGGTTACCATACAATACAAATTAATCAAAAGCATCTAGAACAGTAAAATTACTTATATAATAAGCATATTACAAATAAGTAAAAATGAAATTGATTTGCTACTATGACTCCTTTAACAGCATAAAAATGATATTCTTACAATAATGCAAACAATGTAACTATCTGGCTTACAACATAAATAACTATACATTGGAATTATATCTTCATTTTTTGTTAACACTAATTGCAAGGGCAGAGTTCAAAATGCACATGCCCCATCCTTTTGCAGGTTACCATTCAACATGGTATCTGATGTCAGTGTATTCATTTGACCCTTTATTGCTTATTTAGTGATAGTGCATGGTAGAGGAGAGTAAGTACCAAATATAATATACAGGGATGCTGTACAAAAAGCTGTAGATATGCATTTTGGAGGTTTTAGCAGTTAAGTAAGTGCAATATGCAAACTGTACAATGCAAAAAAGTATTTTTGTTCTCTATATGAACATCACCTTGCACTCAGACTTGTCAGAATCTGAGACAGACTGACATTGTCATTCACAGACACATCTTGAGTACAAATACTTTATAACATACCAGAGTTTTTGCGTAAAACTGACTTGTATGTTTTATTAAAATCTTGTCATATTTTGTGTAACTAAACATAGTAATTTTAGAATTATAGTCAATTTTCCTTCTCCAACGTGGATGCACACATTCAGTTAATGGGACCAGCAAACGCTTTATTTTCTATTATGTGTATCTTACATTTATTTAAAGAATTACCTTCAACATTTGGCATTTCTTTAAAAATACTACTGGTTACTATAATGAAGATGTTCATTGATACAGTTTTCTATCTAATTAAGTTTTAAACATTTTTGATGTTGCAATCTATAAAAACTTTCATACTCTGCTCTAAAAGGCACATAGAAGTTAATCTATAATTATTCAAACTAGGGTGATAATATAAAACATGATTAAGAATATTACAGAATGTTTAGCTTTTATTTCACCTATTATTAGTTCAACTGCTTAGTAATAATTGGTTTCTTTAATTTCATATGATTAAGTGACTAGGTTAATTCTCATACTATAAAAGTCACTTTGTAGTTGTAAAAATGTAATTAATTTTTTATGGATAGTTTTAAGGCTTTGTAACAAACGAAAAAATTAATTTCCGATATTTCAAAAATAAAATCTACTTTAAATAATTTAGAGTTGTTTATGTATCAAGAGAGAAGAAGTTCCTGAGTAAAAATATTTTAATTTTTAGTTTCTGAGCACTTTTTACATCCATAAAGATTTGATATCTTTAATTGAAGTCTAATTGATCAATAAGGTTAAAAAGTTTTATTCCTAGAATATTTAATGTGTACCTTAAGTAAGCTTAACCACACTTCCCAGTTAATGACTTCAAAATATCTCACTTGAAAAGAACATATTTATCCCGATTGCTGAAGAAGTTTGGAAACCCTGAACTTCCACTAGTTATATGCATTATTGAAACAAAATATCAATACAAAACTTTATTACCTGAGCAAGTAATAACCTGACAAGATGAGGATGAATTTCTACTGCAAGATGCAATGATGTGTTTCCACTTGTACCCACAGCAACATTAATGTCAGCTCCACTAGTGCACAATTTCTCAATACATTTTTCTTTGTTGTTTATTACTGCAACATGAAGAGGAGCAAGCCCTGAAAAAGAATTACACACTAGAGTTTCCAATTTTCATAAACAAGACAGTTTTCTATTTTTTAAGCCAAGGACAATTATGTTAATATCTCACTAAGAAATTCCACTTCAACAATTATGGCTACATGATTACATGTTGCTATCTTATCAAGAAATTCCACTTTAGCTAATTTCATAGAAATCCTGTCATACACATTTATAGGAAAAGACAAAAATTACAACTACTGTACTTCATTTTGGCTATATGATTGATTTAGTTTCTGTAGTATAATAAAAAGTACATGCTTTTACCATACCTCTTATAAACTGCTTGGCTTTTCAGTGAAGTTACCCAATATTTCCCACATTACTTGATTCGTACAAGGGAAAATTCATAAAAGAAAAAAGTTTAACCATGTCCAAATAAAGCTTCTACAAACAACCACATTCTTTATGGACTTTAATTTACTAGAACTAGATGAATTTACTCAGTCACACAAAAACCATTGGTTAATAAAGTAATGAAATAATTCCAAATTAAGAATATCACAGGTTACTTGGTTATAGTAGATTCTACTTGCCAGTACTGACCCAGTATCACATTATATGCCTAAGAGGTAATTCTCAGTAATGAATAACCAGAGTTTAGCTAATGATGCAGTTATTAATTGTAACTCTAAATCAGAGGACAGTAACACTTCAGATAATTTTACCTAACCAAACATATTGATACTGACTTAAAATGCACATTAAACAAAACAGTAATTTTGTAGCCAATGAAAAAAAAAAAGGACAAGGAGAAACAAAACTATTGTAGTCTTTTCTGTTTACATAGTTTGCTCATTATGCATTAAATACAGGTGCTTATGACTTTTCTTCAGAATTAAAAGTGGCAAATTTTTTGTTTTATCCTGAACATCATGTACCTCTAGAAAAGGTCTGCACAATGTCATTCATCAGCTTTGCCTACTTTTAATTCTAGAGCCATGTGAATTTTTCCATAAATATCCCAATTTTTGTTCAATAATAAAAAACATTTGATGCAACTATACTTTTTTTTAGTGTATGAACATAAATGGGAATGTTCATTGAGCAAACTTTTGCAAGGTTTGATTATCCAAAATATAAAACTGGTTGTAAAATGGCTTTCAACATAATCTGTATTTTGCCATTAAGGGAAGCAATTCCAAAAAACAAGAACTCCAAGTGTAGTAGTAAAAGCTGGAATGAGTGCTTGCAACACAAGCACCTAACAACCATGGCCAGAAAATCCTTACTTTATCTCTCACATATTTTATGATATATACTAATCCTAGTGCTTGTGACATGAAGCAATGAATTTAATCTACATCTACTTAGCTGACTATTTAACCTTGAAAGCATGCCACATCTTTATCAATCATCATTAATAGAAATAATCCTTATCATCCAATCACTCTCATTCCCAGAGTTCATTTTGCATAGCTCATCAACTCAGAACAAGCGTGTCATCTGGTGTCACTGCTGCTTCTAGTTCTTTCTCACACATTGTCATCCTTAAAAGTAACAAACTTTCCAATCCCCTGTAATCTATTTGATAATGTGTGTAATATTATTAATGTTCAGCATATTAATTCCCTGTAGGAGTTGCTTCCTGTTAAAGATCTAGTTAAACAATAATAATTACAGTGTAAGCATCCAGGGTTGGTGTAACACACAAAAATATGTGAAATCCATACAAAACTGCTTGTGGAAAGATGTAGTTTTAGCTGAAACATAAGTTGATATTTCATAAACACAACAAAAAAGGCAACTTGGTATTATTCAGATTGCATCATTTTATTCATTTTCTATAAAACTGGATTTACATTCAGCTTGACTCCTAATTCACCATGCCACATTTTGTTCACTGTAAGCTTAAGTTTGTTTATTTTAAATTTTGCGCAAAGCTACACGAGGGCTATCTGCATTAGTTGTTCCTGATTTAGCAGTGAAAAAATAGAGGGAAGGCAGCTAGTCATCGTTACCCACCATCAACTCTTTTACCAACGAATAGTGGGATTGACCGTCATATTACAATGCCCCCATGGCCGAAAGGGCGAGCATGTTTGGTGGGATAGGGGATTTGAACCCATGACCCTCAGACTGCGAGTTGAGCGCCTGAACCACTTGGCCGTGCTGGGCCACATTAAGCTTACGAAGTGCAGAGTTTAACACATTGTGTTTGTGCTCATTGAATAAAGACTGTTTATTGTTTTTTTTTTATAATTGTGTCCTATCTCTTTATTTCCTTCTCACAAACTTACTTTATGTCAGATAACTCAGAAACACTTTGTGATAAATATCTTGTTCAAATCTCCCATTATTCTGTGGACCTATCAGGTCATTCTAAGAAAAAAACAAAAACAATTCTTACGAAGAACACCACAATATGGAATGGGAGATTAACTAGAAAAAATAAATTGTTTTTCTTCTAATTGTTATATCACTGTGAACTCACCTTCATAATTTAGTTTATCTATGTCAACAATCTTAGAAACACTCTTAGGATAATTTTTTCTGTCAAGCAGCAAATGAAGTGCAATGAGATTCCCTTCTCTCACAGCTATATGCAATGGTGTATTTCCTTCATTATCAGGAATATTTGCATCAGCTCCACTCATCAGAAGAAGAGGAATAGCTTTGTGGCTCCTCGTAACCACAGCTAAGAATAACGGAGTCTGCAGAAGAAAAAACAGAGAATCAGAAAATATTTGTAAGTAAACAGTAATATTTTCCCATTCACTGTTAAAATATTACTGTTTACTTACAAATATTCACTGTAAAATTAACTAAATAAGTTTATTTTTTTTTTTTTTTTTTT